ACGTAAAGTCTTGTAGGCTTTATAGCTTTACAATTTACGAAGTCCGAAGTTGCGGTGCAAAGCGATTTACGTTGCATGTCAATTTTGCAAGTGCACTCGGTGTTAGCGATTGATCACATCACTTCGCAATTTTTCATCCTGCGGCCGTGAGACCATCGTCTTTTATAAAGTAGAACCGAGTAGAATAGATACAGAAGGGATTCATTTTAGAAGTAAAATAATTTATTATTTATTCTTTTTTACATTATAGACATTAAAATTTCAATTTCCTTATTATAATATTCCCTTCCATCAACTTTACTTACATTTTATTTTGATTATCCGATACAAATTTCGGTGTATCCTACTACAAGAAAGTTTTCTATGTATATAGAAATGTGCATGTGTGTTAATTGTGTGTTACTGCAACAGTGCATGCATAGGAAATACATACGTGCGCATCGTTAATGTATTGTGCGAAAGGCATACATATGGCAAAAAACTTCCACGATCGATAACAATTTACATGCTGTTTAGTGTGCAAAAATAGTATATCGGATAACTGTAGTAACTGTTGTGTAGTAACTGCAAAACTATGCTAACTGCAAACTTCTATTTGCTATGCGTTTGCACGCACGATACATAGCGACGTTTACGTTTGTCTTAACGTAGCTTTATTTTGATGGTCAAACTAAAGTAGCACTATCAAGTAGTTTAATCGATCTAGTTGCAAGCGGGCTATCGGATCACGTATAGCATTTCATTGAAGTATATAATCATTATCTCTTTTTAAATATCTCTTATTAAATTGAAGATATATCGTTGCGTAGATTAAAATATGTATTTACTGCATTTTCTTCGATGTTCTTCGAAAGGTCCATAAACAAATGTATAATGCCTGAAATAATTAAATTTATGCAAATTCGCTGATTCCTTATCATGCATATTTAACAAATTTTTCATGATAATATCTTCAAGTCTAACATACTTTTTAATATCTTCAATTCTAATATACTTTTTATATATAGTCTTGCAAGAAAAAATATATATCAAATCAAATAAAGAACAATGCTTAAAAATTAAAACTATAAATATAATTTAGTTTGTTAATTATAAATTAAGACGTTTTGTATGAAATTTGAAAATTTTTTTGCAATTTTTTTTTTATTCATTAAATATGCAATATATAACTAATTTTGTTCTCGTGTGTGGAAAAAAATTATTTAAAAGCGTCTCTTTCAATTTCCTACTTTCTACCTCCACGAATTTGGAATAAATATAATAAATTTATAAAAGGCCATTGAATTGTAAATATTTAGTTATGTTATACCTTATTGTTAAGTAAACACAGAATATACGCGAAACACCTAACGCGTGATGCTTGTTTCATCTGTACACTTGTTTCCTTAGAATGCAAGTTTTTGTTGCATGCATACGCAATTCTCACCCGTGCTGATAGCGTTGCTCGCATCGTGTTTTCTGCACTCGCACGTTCAATCAATATGCAGAAAAAGCGTGTCTGCGTGCTTTGATATTTAATCGTGTTGCGTTGGGCATACATGATGGTAAATGTTCACGGTGTGCATCGCAAAGGTCACAGGTCGCTACACTGCGGTCTCCGTCGGACCGTGAAAGGCCGCAGCAATACTTCAATCGTAAATTTCCGCACTTACATCTTTCGTGCGGCACGTTCTTTTCGATCACGCGAGAAGTTTAACAAGAGAAATTTTTATTACGAATTCTACATATCACGCTGTATTCTCCCGATACTTTTTATCGATACATTTCTAGATTTAATCGCAACAAATTCAGTGCTGGTGAATAAATTGTGACGCGACATTTCTTAGAATTAATAACGATTACTCTTTAATAATTTGGGACTATTATTACTTAAATTGTCATTGTTTTCTAATTTTGTAATAGACCGGCTGAAAATACTTGAAAACGTGAAGCATTATTGTTGCGAATTTGCCGATTACTGAAAGGATTAAACTCGTCGTTAAATTTTGCTTGTCGACCAAACGATGTAATCGTGAGCTTTATTGCATTGTAACGCGCCTGTGTAGCACGAAAATGTCTCCTTTTGTATGTAGAATACGACGCAGTAAATATTCGCGAAGACATCGCGATGAAACGTGATACGGGCGAATTTGGGATGAGTCGATAGCATACAATGACAATGGTATAGACATTAATTGTCGAACATTTAGGTCGCAGCGAATTTATGGCACGTCGTCGGATTCGCCACGGATGTGCAATAAGATAGCGTCTTTGCGTGTCATTTAAGTTCGTCTAGGTGTTATTTTATGTCATTTCTTCTATAAACAGTCTTCTATTTTCTCTGTAATTCTATCTTATTGCAAAATTTTTCGCTCTTCAGTGGTCTGATTAATGGAGAACGATATAACTTGGTTTACAATACGACGATAATATAACAATTAATCTATCGAGATTTATTATATTATCCGATTAATTTTTATTTTAATTCTTAGAGAAATTAATTTTGCTTAAAGAAAACAAATATTTGAACATATAATTAATTGCATAATTTTTCGCATCTACAATAAATCATTTGTCTGGTTAATACAAAATTTAATTATTTTCTGATTAGAAAATAATCTCAATTATAAAATGAAACAACTGTTATTAAACATAGAAATTATTTTAATGATTGAATGGCAAGTCTTCTTTTATTGCATAATTTGTGATATTGGAGTTTCTTGCCCTTATATAGGCGATAGTTCGAAGGTAATGAGATATATCGAACGAAGTCGTGACGAACAACCTATTCGCAACGTTCATCTCGTAGATTAGATAATTCTAACATCATGGAAAGCTATAGCGATCGTAAATTAATTTAGTTGCTGGATAGTTTTGGTCGATTGTGCAGGAAATTACTATAATTAGGGTTAATTACACGATATACAATGTTATCGCGACAATTTTCTTTGTGACTTACGTTACAAGATAAATGCTTATTTGTGTAGTTTATTGGCGTGCCATTTTACATTGTATGCCACAACTACAAAGTTATCGTTATTTAAAGTTTCTTGCTAGATCAATAGATAGACAAATTGAAATACTTCTCTCTTGAAATCTCATAAGTTTTATCACAAGAATATAATATGAGAAAATAAATGTTCGGAGATAATACGCGCTTAAACAACAAAAAGTTCCGACAATTTTGAATCAATAAAAACTTATTAAAAACTTTGTTGAGCATTTAAAGAAAAAATCCAAAAAATGTTTTCCTGGACATTTCCTGGAATTTGTTACGAATTTTGATTATACTCACCTGCCTGGACGCGATCGGAGTGGGTGGGTCCGACAGTTCCTTCTGCTGACCGATCTGATTTTGTTTTCTCCTGGCCTGATTTCCGGTCTGGCCGCTCTGCGCGGAACCGACGGGCCCGCCACCGCCCCATTTAATCACGTGAGGGCCCGAGTTGCGGCGCGCCGGCGGGCCCAGCCGCTCGCCCGGTTCTTCGGGTGGCGAGCCGAGTGTCCCACCTGCGGGCGGCGACAGGAATAAGTGAGTACGATAACCGTGCCCCTGGTGCTCGTGATCGCCCATCAACGGAAAGTATCCGAATTCCCGACTGCGTCGTACGCCGGGTCCACGCACGCCGCCGACCGACTGGCCGATACCGCCGCGCGCCACGCCGAAACGCGTTCCTATCTGGCCGAACGAGGCCCCGCTGGTCCCGTAAGTAGTGATGCCCAGGCCGGGCCGGACTTCTCCTAGTCCTCCTCCAATTCCTCCTCCACCTAGTCCGCCACCACCGAGTCCCTTCTCTCCCCCGAAGTTCTTGCGGAACATAAGATTCATGACTGACTTCGGTGCGCGATCTCAGGTCGTTGACGTATTTCTCGTGATGTGTATAAGTGTTATATATATATATATATATTATTTTTTTTTCTCTTTATTTTTGCTCGACCATTCGATACGCTCGATTCGACGGGTGTTCGAAGATGCGCGTGGAAAAGAGGCAGTGGTAGTGGTGGCGGTGCGCGACGATCACAAGGATATATATACGATATATACGATATATATATATATATATATATATATA